CCTGGGTACCCATTAGCAAAATCTCGGCGCTGGAACTTGCTTGGTTGCCGAGTTGAAATACCCGAAAACACACACACACATACATACGTACACACACAGGCAGGGTCGCCCCAATATGCGTTTTTGCAATTTGCATATAGGCAAAAACGCATAACTGTGCATAACATATTTGTCCTATTTATAATTGGTCCGTCGCGAGAAAGCCTCTGCCGTTATCGGTAATGCAAAGAACATTAAAGTTGATTGTTGCGTACTGCATCCCAAACAAAATACCTCCACTACTGAAGAGCAGTTCGCTGAACAGCTGGAGGTAGTCTGTGCGCAATTTATCCACAGATCTGACCATACAGGTATAAGGAAATTAGGTTCCGCTTCAGCTGCTTTCACTTGAACATATCCTTTCGGTTGTAAATCAAAGTAAAGAAACGAGCTGAGGGCAAAGAATCACTTGTTTCATGATAAACCTTCATAATCTGACGATGTGAATTTCGCAGAAATCAGCAACTGAGCTGTCTGCTGAATCCACCATGCTTTTTTTGTCAATACTGTTAAGGTCAATATTTAATTTCGCGAATGTACCACTGCTTCCTCGTGCCAGTACATTTGGATTGACAAACACCGAACCGGAAACGACCTGTAGTTAAGAAATGTGATTTTCAAAGGCACCTCTCTCTGTAAACAGGGGATCATTAATATCCGCCGGCAGAGAGATACTGCTTTTTAAAAAACGCAAATTTCTGAACATAACAGAAGCAGTGTTTTTGCTTTCAGTTAGAATTAGTCGTTGTTTCCAAAACCGCGTGTCAAAAATCAAAACAGAATAAAAGGTAGGAAACGTAGTGGTGAATTGCCGTGAATCATTGCTTTTCATGATCCTAATTATTTTTGTAAAACGTTACCTTTACTACAGGTGCAAGTATTGATGAAAGTATAATGAAATGAGGTATTCTCGAAAGTACACAGCGTTTTATGGCTTCAGATAATCGATAGGAAATATCAGCAGATGATGGATACAACGGGTAGAGCGACCGCTGCCTGCAACAGACACAAATTCTTACAATCCAAATTAAGAGCTAGCTTTAAAATCTCAAGAATAATGACATCAAGAAATCCAACCATTTTAGAATGGCCCAGCTGCTGCTGTTTCTGTTGCTGCCATTACTC